AAAAGGGCAAGAAAGATTAGGATTTGATACTTCAACCCATTCATATTCAATAGACATAATAAAGATGAAAGAAAACAAAAAGAGAAAAGGGGAAGAAGGATTTGTTTATAAAACAAAAACATGTGCACTAAAAAAATAGGAGAGCAAAAAAAAAAAAGAAAAAGGCCAAGTTTTTTTTTTTTTTTTTTTTTTTTTTTTTTTTTTTCTTCAACAAATAAACTCCTTTGACCTTTAAACAACTTTTTCAGAAACAAGTGTAATGTTCTCAACTATTACTCAACGATGAATTAAAGGAGTTGAATATTATATGCAGTGACCAATTATTTCGTCATGTTTTATGTTTATTTTGTCCAGAAATATAAAAGTCGACGCCATTCAACTTGAGTACTTGAAGTTCATAACAACTAAAAGTAAGTAATTACTTTCATTCAGCTCGTAACCACTACCAATGTCCACATGCGTTGGTTTGTCTAAAATAAGATCTGTCATCTGTCTCGACACGCCAAGTCCATATTTTGTTATAACAGTCGTCAAACTTCTCCAATACTACAGCCCTATCAGGATGAATCGTTTAAAGCAGAATGGAACTTTATCTTGTATATCACAATAGAAATTTATTTCCAAGTAAAGAAGTTTCAATTTGGGACAGAACTTGATCGATAAAAGAACACGATAGGTTGACATTTTCAATCGATTCGCAATAGTTCCTTAGAGATTCCAGTATATATCCAACCAGTGCTAACTCCTTAAGTCTGCGACATAATGATACTAATGATTCAAGATCTCCTTTTTGATGAAACAATATTTATGTCATGAATTAGACATAGCCCATCAATGTATACTGCAGCATGACTTAAACATGTTTATTTCTCATCTTTACACATACCAATTGATTGACTTTATGTATCACCGTTTTCTCATCTTGTTTTTCCCACAAACCATCACACTGTACATATTCACAGATTCCATTTTGTGGGTGATTAGTTTTCAACACATTTCGACAATTATTTCCTGCAAAAGCGCAATTCAAATGATATCATATGGTCTCAATTAGCTAACCAAATCTGCTCCGTTCTTCACACAGCAGTTCAAAGCTATCCTCATTGATATGTAATCACGTACAAAATCCCTTTTCAGGCCGCATCAACGAAAGATCGACTAGTCAGTTGTAGGCCTCATCTTGTAATGAAATTCTTTAAAGAAGCTTTAGTGTAAGAGTACACTGTTGTTTGTTTGGAGTAAAAAGTATGCTAAAATCAAATAGTTTCAGACAAGTGTTGGGTATAAACTGATATTCTTGTGTACTTGTCATGAAAGTACAAAGAGATACAGAGACATGCCAAGGATCGAACGGACGATGAGAAGCTCATCTATTTTTTTTTAAAAAGATTAAACCTAATTTTTAATTCCAAAAGGCATTCGCTATATTTCACATAATGTTGCAAAGAGATTTCAGTACCTTCAAATATCTTGATGATTTCACTTGATTTCATTGTTACTTATGAATATATGGATAGGAAGCTGTTCTTTTCAGGATTTAACCACTTCAACTCACCAACAACACTTGACGAACCGTTCAAATACAAAGTACGCCAAAAAGCGCTTCTTGCTTATCATTGACCAAACTGACTTTAATCCTCTTGGCAAACTGTCTTGTGCTAGTAACTGTTGTCAATTGCAAAAAAAAAAAAAAAAAAAAAAAAGTGCTTCAGATGATTCGCTATTAAGACTTTGACAGTGCCAAATGTATGTCGTGTACAAACTAGATATCATGTAAAACAGGCAAGCACATATTCTCTTGCTTGCTTTATACTGAGTACTTGAAGAACAATCTTTAATCCTTTTTGTGATTGCTCAGTCACTAAAGCTTGCTAATATACTTTACGCAAGAAAAGCAAGGATTGTAATTTTAGTAAAAAAAGAAGCCTTGTTGGGTAGTAATTCACGAATTCTCTCTTCTTTTTTTTTTTTTTGCTGTCAAGTATACAAAGAAAGGTGCTTGCTTTTGTTTTTAAAGAATACATAATTTATTTAAAACAAAGGATGAATTGTATTTCAATAATTAAAAAACATGAAATTCAGTACCATTTAATATGAGTATTTGAAGTTTACAACAATTTATAATCAGTCGACTGTCTTTACTCGTCTTGCAAACTTCAATTCTTTCTTTACACGAAAGTTGTCTTGGTTTGCGTTTTGGCTCTAGTCTATAACAAGTGGATCCAGTTTTAGTCTCTACAAGTAAGAGAGATTTGCTTTGTGGCATAACAATCTCGAGCCTTTCTAAGGACAAGTTGTATAAATTGGCTTCAACAAAGTAATACTGAATAGAAGATGAAGGGACATCACCAACATTAGCTACGTAAGTATTGTCTTTCAAAGAAAGAGACCTTAAATTGGTACAGCAGTTAGCCAAGTCCTGGAAGAATTTAGGTCTGACATAAGAATGAGAGACCAGGATTTGTTCAACAGATTTTAATGTTGGAACCTGAAAAGACTGCAAGACATAATCTGTCAGTGTCACTTTTTGAAGCCCCTGGTATTGTGCCATGAATATACCAAGATCATGTTGTAATAATGAATCGGATAATATTCCTCCATTCAAAATCAATTCATGAATGTTTGATGCTACATGCTCCAGATGCGTAAATAGGCTGTTACCAGAGGGCCAGATCAAGTAAAGTTTACAAACAAGCAGATTCGTGTCTAATCTTTGCCAGGTAGTATTAAAATCAAGATATCCTTTAAATCCTCGTCTGATTGTTAGTACGTTGTATATTTCATAGCATTGGCTTTCTGCAAACTGCGGTGTAAGCATGCATCTCAAGTAGTGGTATATGAGTTGATTGAGATAATTGCCATCCTGATTGTATTTCCTCATCACATCATCCCCTCCATTTTTGATGGTCAAACGAAGGCTAAACTTTTTACGAGTTTGCATCAAAGCATAATGGACAAGCCTATCATAAGCTTCGTCTTGTAGCGAATGATTGGCAGACAAACGATGCATGATGAGATGTAACTCAGAAAGATAAATAAGTCTATCAGAGATACAATCAATAAATCCTTCCGGTAATCTCATACTGTAGTTTTGAATCGTCAACTGTTTTAAGTATGGGTAAATGCAAAGTGACTCTTTTTTCTCCTCTTTGATGTTGAAGGATGCATTGAGACTTGTCAACTTGGGACAGCTGCTGAGTACAATCCCAAGCTCTTCCATGGTTGTCAAAGGTAAAGATGGAGGTAAGCAAAGATACTCGAGGGAGCGAAAGAACGATAAGAAGTTAAAGTCGTTCTGATGACCTAATCCTGTAGTCAATTTCACAAGACATTTGCTATATTTCATGTTGTGTTCAAACGAGTTGCAATCGGGTGGGAGTTCTTTGAGATGTTTCCACTTAATTTCATCACTAATCCGAAGCATATAATTTGAGAGCTCATCTTCTTCTGCATCAAACCTTTCTACATATGGACAACACTTGACCAACTGTTCAAATAAGGAGAATGAAAAATGCGTTTTCTCACTGAGTCTGTCGATACCAATGACAATGGTCTTGACAAATTTACCCATACTGCTAAGTCGATAAGCTGTCGTTTCTAAAAGTAAATTCAAAAAGCTTTCAAGATGGTGATCGTCTGCAATCAGAAGTTCATCAAATGAATATTGTGTACCGAGAGAATACCACCTAAAACATACTAGTCTACATTTTAGAGCTTCACTTTTCTTAAGGTTTTGAAAGACTATCTCTAGTATCTCTTGAGGAAGTTGGTTAATCTTGACCATGTCGATTGAGTAAAGCAAAAAAAAAAAGGAACCGTAACTAAAACCAAAGTCCGATTAAAGGAGTATGAATTGATTCATGCAGAAAGAAAAAAAATAAACATTTGCAGCAGTACTTGGGTTCTTGATGATCAAATCTGATTGAAAAGCAAGTATATGGTGATTTAATACATACTATATATCTTTTAATATACGCTATATAAATGTATACTTGATTTATTAGTATTTGAATTTATATATGTGGTATTTTATGTATTGATATATACTTTGTATAAAGCTATGAGATAAAAACTATATAACTCTTGCTATAATCTTTTTACATAAATCACCTTTTTAAACTCGAAACCAAATTATTCGAGGCAACTGATAAAAAGTAAGCAAACTAAGTCTAGCTAACGATCAAAAATATATCAAATACCAAAGCCATTCAATAAATTAACGCTCATAATACACTTTTCAAGATAAAATTTATTTTTTTATATTTCATTTTCATTCACTTTAGAGTCCAGAATACGTCAGCTATTTGGTTTTTGTCTCATATTCTACTCTCCTTTGTTTAATTATTTCTCTCTGTTGTAATATCCTCTTATATGCTGTATCTGTTTCATCAAATTCAATTGAAAAACATTCAGTATCCAAATTGAACAGATAAGTCTTGTCTGATTCAAGATTATCAAAATGGAGCTCAGGGTCAATATCAACACCCTGATTACTTTGTGCAGATGCTTTTTTGACATTCCAAGATCTATTTTTTTTATCACAGACATGAACTATGCCTTTTACTTCCTGTTGTACTATTAAGTTAAAAATATATAAACAATGCATCATCCCCTATAGTATGGTTTTGGGAAAAGACTTTTCGATAAAAACAAGTTGAATGGCGCAGTCCCTGAGCTTTAAACCATGTTTGATTTCCGACAATGTCGTGTTTGATTATGAATAGTCTTTTTATAGTAATTAACAAAAGTACAGATAACTTAAGTAGTAAAAGATAGATTATTTTTATTTAATGAAGATAATGTCTATTTATACTATTCTACATTTGCTGTGGAGGAGATGTTTGTTATATATTGTTATAATATTAATATTGAAAGTACTGCCGATATACTGAGACTATGCTGCGGCTGACAATTGTAATCTCTGTAACATCATCCAAACATACGGTAATACCAAAAGCGGAATAGAAGAGATAACAACAATCAAAAGTAGAAAAATACAACGGTCTTGCCGAGATTCGAACTCGGAATACAAATAGATTGCCCAAATGCAGTGTTTAACCATTACACCACAAGACCCTTTTTAAGCTTTGATCTTGAATATAAAATGCCTCCTGCTTTAATCACGTGACTTCCACTACAAATCACTGCAAATAATTAATGATTTTCAATATTGTCAGTCGTTTGCGATATCAGAAAATCAGCGTTTTGCATGTCCTTGAATAAATGAAAAAAATTAACTCTCGCAGTTTGGTCATTTTCGAATTATGAAGAAAGATTTAGGTGCAGAAAAAATTGTTGTATAATGGTAAAAGTAATAAAGAAAAAGGTAGAGACAAAGATCGAGAAACAGTTTGAGTACTTTTTGAGACTGATCTTTATTTCAGTTTAAGTTAAAGTAAAAATTATTCTAATTGAAGGCAGGTATTTATATCTTATTGAGTGAGTGGCTTGATATCTTCTATTGTTATCGTTCTTCTAATATTCAGGTACTTTAGCAAGTGTTATCTATAATTATGATTATGAAAACTTTTCATTTGTTCTTTTGTATGTCTGTCATAGATTATCTTTTATTCTGGGGATTCCTCACTGATTTGAATAACGTTATTTTACGCGTTATTTCAATTATGTGAAAGATTAGCAATATTCCTGACATTGGATTGGATTTGGTTATTTTAGTTGATACTTCTTCTTATCAAAGAACTCTCATGAATACAATACATATTCTAAAAGAACATGTTTAATTGGAATTGATTGTATGATCTTATTTAAATAAACTTATATTTTATTTTATTTTAATTATGATCTTGTTGTTGCTGATTTATTCAAAAGGGTAAAAGGAACAAGAGAGGACAAGACTCGATAAATAGATTGTTTTATTTAATAAGAAAATGATACTCTATTTATACTTTTCATACACGGATAATATTTCATGTCGTGGATTAATAATTAATGAGTATGATATAACTAATGACAAATAGATAAGGGTTACGTGTGTTATGTTCTGGTAAGGTAATTATCAAAATAACAACAAAACCAAAAGAATACTTTTTGAGACTGAACTTTAAGACAATCTTCATTGTTAAAAAGGAATCATTACAACGTCTACTATTTATATTTTTCTATTAGTTGGCGGATAAATGAGTAGTTATGAGCGTAGATCCAATCATTGACATGTTTGATTAAAGAATGATCACTGAATCGATTATGGAAAATTGTAATTCGTTATTTTATAGATCTTATTGTTCTTTAACTGATCTGGGAGAGTTGTCCCGTCTTCATTGAGAGGAAAGATATATTTATATGAAATACCTCCAGTCAGATCAAAGTTGACTAGGTACCTGATCCATTATTATTCATTTACAGAAATGATGAATAGTAAAGATCATGACTTATTTAGTATTCATGTTTACTTTATAGAATGAATCTAATAGTGATAGTTTTATATAAAAAAAAAAGAAGAATATATTTTATTTAATAAAGATTTAAATTATTATCTTTTATCAATTTTATATACTTCTTTTAGTTGTGATTATTCAATGTCCGCTATGATCAGACTCTGTTCTGCAACAGGGTCTGCTCGCGAAGTTCGGCATATGCTGGACCTAGCACAGATCCACTCCTTGACTCTTGGTTACAAGTGGAGCCCTCTAAAGTGTGCTGTCCTCAACTCGCCTGTTGCCACTTCTAGTCGTTTTGTTCAAATGTCTCTATATGGACAAGATCTTTCCACTGCTGATGAGTTCACTTATCTGGGTGTCCCTTTCAATGATCAAGAAATCTCGGTCTCTGCTTTGATCAAGCATCGTTCAACAAGTACCTTGGCTGCTATGGCTCAACTCCATTCGATGGGCCTTAGTCGTCAAGTCTTTCCTCTGCTTCTTTCTTCTCGACTCTTTGCTGCTTTTATCCGTCCTAAACTCGAGTATGGCCTTGTTGTTGCTCGACTTACAAGAAAGGTCGGTGAAGAGATCGACCGAGTTCAAGACCGGTGTCTTCGAATGCTTGTTGAGATATTTGCAGATAATAAAGTGAGAAAGGAAAATAGTACTTGAAAACTAGTGAATGAGTCTCTATGTAACCTATTTATTAGATTTCAAGGCGAGAGAGAGAACCCAGTTAATCAAATTACGCTTTTATATAGGAAAAGGAATTATTCCGGGACCAAAGAGAGTTCAAGATCAATTTTAGTATTGAGCTTGAATAATATAAATATTGTATGTGGTTAATATTGTAAAGTGAGTCTTGAGAATATGTAATAAGTGGTATTACGTATTCGGTACTTGTTATTTCTTATATAAGATCTGAGTAATATCATACGAATAATAGGTATTTAATGAGGTAAATACGACACTTCTCGATGGTCACTGAACTACCTCGACTGTGGTCCTTCGTCGCATCACCAACTTACTGTCAATGACTTTTCGAGCTGATACCTTGTGCTCCTCAAGTGTTGTCTTCGCTTGATGGCCTTCCTGATGACTGCTTGCTCTCGTCACTGTTGATACAGCTCTGTAAGCGGAAAATTGTACTAGATTACCCTTCGGATGCTGCTCTTTCTACTTCTCGTCTTGCTTCTTGGCTTCAAAGGTATCGTCAAGACCAGTTCCAAAGCTTCTTACGGTCCATCTCTCAGGTTCTGATTCGCGCTTGTCAGCCTGTTCTCCGGGTGGACTCTATCCTGTACTTGCCTGCCTCCCGTGCTGATCGGTCTCCTCTTATTAGGTGGCGCATGGGTTGGATCCCAGGCAAGTCTGCTCCCCTGCTCCTGTGGTCTTGGCAATACTTTTCGTTTTTACCTGATGGCCTGTCCCTTGGCTCCTTCTGTTCTTTGATGCTGCTTACCTGTGCCGTCGACTGGCTATGTGGATCACCACATATGCCAATATAATGTCAGCGCTGTCATACTCATAAAATGTTTTCGTTATTACAATATGCTAAACTATCCCCATTAGATTTTAGGATGCATAAAACTCGGTATATCAAGGTAGCGGCTATATAAGCAAAAGACTGTGACACATAGTAAATATAGAAAAAGGGACCACTTTGTATTAATCGAGACATATTTTATTACATAAATAACAATTAAAATCGCCCTGAAGTGATTCTGATGATCCATTTTTCTGCTTCTACGATTCCTATAAGGAAAATTACACAAGCAACAGTTATCACCCAAGATTGCCAACCAACTTGAGTTAGTTCCAACCAATGAGATATACCTTTTTATATATAAAACATTAAAGACGTTCAAAAGGCGTAGTCATAGTTTACCTGGGGCATAAATACCAATGATCATTAAACCAAACGAAATGAAGAAGGCAAGCATCATCCACCTGTTTTGAGTTATTCCTGTTTTAAATATAGATTGATGTACGCTTCGAACATTAAAAGAATGAACAAGTTGTAATGTTGTCAGTGTTGTAAAAGTCTAAAGAGAAAATTAAAATAATTTGAATAAGAATTGTTGCTTTACTCTACCATTGACTGAGATACCGATAAAGGCATCTTTAATACATTCAAACTAATTAAATATGTTCCCAAAGCGAATAAAGCAATCAACATTGAGTTTGAAAATATCATGAGCCAAGTTACTTTTGTCAACACACCCATCTTTGGGTTACGGGGTGGTCTAGACATCAGATCCTTTTCATTTGGCTCCACGCCCAAAGCCATGGCAGGAGGAATATCAGCTGTTATACAGAAAACGTTAATCTTTTGGTCCTACTTTTTGTTCTTTTTTTTTTTTTTTTTTTTTTTTTTTTTTTTTTTTAACCAATGATGTTTGCCCACAAGATCATCATAACAGTTAATGGTACTTCGATATTAGCTATGTACAAATAAGCATCAAAAATATTTCTGCGCCAGTACAACTCAAAAGATAATCTATGAATTTTAGAATATTATCAAAAACATGTCTACCTTCCTCAACAGCTTCAACAATGGTCGAGAAATTATCATCTACCAAAACGATATCGGCTGCTTGTTTAGTAATCTCGGTGCCAGCTTGACCCATAGCAACACCCACGTCAGCTCTTTTGAGTGGCAGGTGCAT